ATCCCCAATACTATTACCTGCCGCCGCGTCCGCGATAGCCACGCCGGGGGTCAGCCGAATTAATTAATTAAATCGCGCAATGCGAACTTTATTATACGATAATTAGCCGCGCTGTTTATTCGAACGTTTCCGATGCTCGGCGCGCCCCGTTGTCGATATCCGTGTAACATTCATACATATATTTAAGGAAAGATTAATCACCATTCAATCTTTATCGACGTTCCCGTGAATAAATTGTATTCGCGCTCGCGCGCGCGCGCGCGAACAACTGTTGAATCGCCGATGGAGTATTTATCGGATGGAAATTAATGAAAAATGTATATTTGTATAAGAACCATTTGTATAAAAATCCCCGAGACCGTTCCTCTCTCCATCCGTTGAAAACATCCGTAATAAAGCGTTATTAATCTTGTATTCTGTGTAATTTATTATGGAATGCGTGTGTAGCCGCGCGAAGTGACGTGTATTACTTAACGATGCTAATTACCAACAATAAAGCGCGGGAAATGTGAACGTCCTTATACAATTATTACCTGCGAAATTATACCGCGAGGAAAGAAAACCAATTTGCCCTTCTGCCTCCCCCGCCCCTTCCCTCCGAGGTCTTACATAAATAGCACGATTTAATTAAGTTTCAGATGAATTTCAGGCCCGGCAAATAGGAAATTCAAATTATGCCGTAATATCCGCTGTACAGTTATCTCTTATCATGTACGGAAATAAATATTTATGCGTACTCGGCAGCTATTATTGCTCTACGACGTGTTTTGTTTTCACCCTCCATTCTCTCTTTCTCTCTCTCCTTCCGCGTTTATTATCTTATGTACGTGGAATCTATTTCTGCGCATTTCCTACGCCAAATGGGACGCCGTGAAAATATTATTTTCCATTCACATTATACATTAGAAATATACTCAGAAGACCTCTTGACACGCTTTGTGAATATTACCTAATAATAAAAGTTCTCTCACTGTCACGCCTCTGAATATTTATCTCGATCACAAAAAATAGATCACTTTAGTTATATAACGTCTATAAAAGTAACAGTAATAAAAAAAAATAATAATTCAAGAAGCATTTTCAGCGTGAAGTCGCGTGAAGTTTTCAAATGTATTTTTGCACGTAAAGTACATTTATTTTTTACGACACTATATAAATACCAATCAAAACCCATTGAATGCCAAACAAGTTTTTATGAAGTTTGTCGAGTTATACCGTCTAGATAAAATATCGCACATAAACCACACAGACACCGTTTAAAAGTAAGAATGCAGCATGATTTCTTTTCGCCGAGTTTTGAGTTATTCAATATTGAAGCAAAAAGCGTCAGCTTTTTCAGCTTTAATTAGTCACAGTAGAAGAATCAATTGAGGTTCGCTTGACAATAAATAAAAATTTTTCTCTTTAAAATGCACTATCATGTTTTTTATAAAAATAAATTCTCAATGTGAAAATTTAACTGAAAGACAGAATAAAAATTAAACAGTTGCTGTTTCCTATTTATGATATAACTTGACAATAAATAATCATAATGTTATAGATTTAATATTTCTGAAAAGTTAATATCTCTCAAGCTCTAGAATGTTTTTCGGAATTCATTTCGCTATCTTGATTTTATGGAAGTCACAGCCTATTGAATTTTGTTCATTTTCGATACAAGTAAAAGTACAGCTGATCATCCGTTGAATTATGTCACTTAAGAAATAGAAAAGTTGTCTAATCTATCGTTAAGTTGTACCATACCTCGGATCTTCTTTTTCTTCTTGTTATTAGCCAGAAATTTATAATAAGTCCATTAGCCAAACTTCAGATCTTCTTGTTGTTGTTCTGGCCGGGAATTTACAATGATTCCATTAGCCAACCTTTCGGAACAACCTCGAATCTTCGGTAAGTACAGTGGCGGCTCGTAGCGGAGACTTCAGAACTAAAAGTCATCAAGCATCCGGACTCGAACCTTCTTAAACTAACATTTACCGACCACTTAAACCGGTATTCATAGTCGGATCTTATTTAGTCCCGATTTATAATATAGTAAGCTTTAAGCTATAAGAAATTAACCAATCACAATTGATTATTCCTCTATAATTCCACTGTGATTGGTCAATTTCTTAAGGCTTAAAACTTACTACACCTCTTGTACATCGAGACTTAAAAGGCGTGTACATTGGAAATAAGCAGTAAGAAGTAGGAAGTAAGAGTAAGAAATTGACCAATCAGTTGATTATTCTTCTTATATTTGACTGTAGTTAGTCAATTTCTTAAGGGACGTCTACATTGGAAGTAAATAGCAAGAAGTAGGAAGTAAGAGTAAGAAATTGACCAACCACAGTCGAATGTAAGAAGAATAATTAACTATGATTGGTCAATTTCTTATTCTTACTTCCTACTTCTTACTGTTTACTTCCAATGTAGACGTTCCTTTACTCTTCCTACTTCTTACTGCTTACTTCTAATGTAGATGTCCCTTTAAGCAGAGAGAAGCCTGAGAGCGGCCACTAGCCTGATTTTAATGGCCAGAGCTAGGCGTGTTTTCGAGACGCCATCTAACAAAGTGCGCCTTTACTACGTCCGCGCATTTTCGCGGTGATAACGATAAAATGTGTCTGGTTCGTGCCCGTTATACTTCCGTGTAATGATAGTAAGTTAGAAAAGAACAGACGTCTAATCGCTCTATTCTTGTCTCACCACTGATAAGCGAACGACACGAAATGAGCTAGTTTAAACATGCCGTTCATATTTTTTGCTTATTTCTCGGCAACCACAAAAGATATCGATGTAATTCAAAGAAAATAAAGTTCTCCCTTACGAAAAAGATATGAAAAAACTCTCAATTTTGGGTGTTAACACTCAAATTTAGATATTTACCCCCAGTTTTTGGGTGTTTACACAATTTATCCTGTTGGAATTCAGAGTTTACAATAATATTAATAATACTAATACTATCCCAGATAGCACAAGATCTCCTCAGGATGTTCTAAGGACGTCCTGAGGACGAAAACATGTCCTCAGGACTTCCTTAGGATGTGCTCTGGATGTCCCCTGGACATCTATGTTCTTAGGGATAATAATGCTATTAAACGGTTCGTTAAATAAGCTGTGGAAGTATGCGTATTGTTCGAAATCGCTGACAGCCTTTTTATGACAGCCTTACTGATTGCATTTTTCGCGCATTTCTCGGCAACCACTGAAGATATCAAGGTGACATAGGGCATTATCTGTCCCACAATTCATTTTATTAGAATTGATAGTTTATAATAATATGAATAACATCGGAGACTTAAAACCTCGATTCGAATCCCAGCTTATTAGTTTAGCGGAGACTCGAAACACCTCGGTTTAAATCCCGGCCTATTAGTTTAGCGGAGACTCGAAACACCTCGGTTCGAATCCCAGCTTAAGGGGATGCTGGAGTGGACGACAAACTTGCTAAGCGTTGATAACGTAGAGGCGATTAAAACGATTCAAAACGTAGAAAACGTAGAAACGTTATCTTTATTTACCGATATACATTAGGATTCATAAATACCTTAAAAATATATTAAAATATATATTTAATATATGTATATATATATATATATATATATATATATATATATATATATAATATATAAGTTAGATGGTCTACAAATGATTTCATTAGCTACAAAGCATCTGAAGATAAACTTAAGGTAGTCTTAAATATAAGATCCGACTATGAATACCGACCTTAGTTGAGACTCGAACTTTTCTGGCAAGTCACGAATCAAACTTAAATATATTTTAAGTCGAACTCATGTTCAACTATTTCGTTAAATTCCTCTTAGATTTCGAGAAATTAATTATTAAAAATGCACTAAGCGGTTAATGGATTACTTGGTACCATCTGGTGGTGTTGAGTAGGAACTCGTTAGAAAAGTTTGAGTCTCGGCAAAGTATGGTTCGAGTCTCAGCTATTTGATCACTCGGTTCTTTGTAATTATTTTACTTGTTATTTTTTCTATTTATTATGTTGACATTTAAGTTCTAAAAGCCTTCGCTACGAGCCGCCACTATATTTACCGAAAAACAGAGGTAGTGTAATAAATTTAAACAAGTTAATGTCATTTTAACTGTACAAGATTATAAATGTTTCCACACAATAAAAATACATGCGAGAATTAGAACACTTAGGGCCGGTTTTTCAATGATAGTTTAAACTTAACTTCAACTTAAACTCTATTTAAATAAAACAAACACATTGTCAGAATAGAGTTTAAACTTGAAACCAAGTTTAAACTGCTATTGAGAAACCGGTCCTAAAAGTTATGTGATAAAAACAATAAAAAATATATATATATTAAGCAATATTCTACACATAATTTTTTTTTTTTAAGTAAATTGAAAAGAAATTGTTCTACGAAATTTTCCTGAGCAAGGTAAACATAAATCCAGAATATACAAACTGCAGAACTTTTATATCAGCTAAATATTTACGTTAATTGATAGTTTGAGATGTCAATTTTTTAATTTTTTATCATTTTCGTCACATTTTCATCGAGCAATGATTGAGTTTTATATATTCAAGACTGATTTAGTTTTACACATTCGTTCACTATGCAAAAGCATTTATAATTTTGTAAAATCAATACAAAGCGTCAGTTTTGCAAGACAATATCAGTATTTTGCCGGTAAAATTTTCAAGTATATACTCAGTAAACATGCATGTCTAAAAGATGTCGAAAAGATATCTAAAAGACGTCTTATGCAACAAAATGTTGCATAAGATATCTTTTAGATATCTTTTCGACATCTTTTAGACATGCATGTTTACTGGGTAGTATCTCCTTATAAAAAACATGTATTTTTTATTAATTTTTATAATTCTAGTAAATTGATTGCTGCTCATATTTCTCTTTAGTTGGTATTTCTAATAATTAAATAGAAGATTCGACATGGGAATTAATTACATTTAAGAATATCGAAAAGATAGTCGATCTCTTTTAACGAAAGAGGAAACGAATCGAATATCGACTTATCTCGACAGTCGATTTCTCGTCAAGCAGACGACGGGCCGCCATATTGCACGAGTTACGTGAAGGAGGTCCGGTGTTTTCTACGTCGAAGATGTTCAATCCGGCAAACATGTTCGCCCGTCAGGCAATCAGAAGGTTCACCACGAGCGCGATTCGTAGGAGCGGTCATCACGATCCTTACGACGGTGTTCCTGGACATGTGAGTGATAGTTCTCATCTGATTGCATAACATCTTAACACAATAACTCTACGCTCTTTCGAACCTTCTTTACAGAACTTCCCATTTAGCACGCAAAATAGACACAAGCTGTTGGTTCTGTGCATGCTCTACGTGGGTAGCGCATTCTCCATTCCCTTGTTCGTAGTTCGCCATCAGTTACTGAAGTAAATTTCTGGTATGTTGCCCGTGTTAACTATTGGCTGAATATATTATGTCACAAATCTCTTCAGACACTTAGGGCCAGTTGTCTTCTTGGTAAATTAACTGATAATTAAATCATATGTTTGTTTTTGTCTAAATTAAAGGAGAAACAAAGACAGACATATGATTTAACTGTCAGCTTATGACTATATAGCTTGCCAAAAGTTTGGAACAATCGGTCCTTAGGCTGATATTCATAGTCGACTCTTATATTTAAGACCGTCTTAAGTTCATCTTCAGATATTCAGTAGCTAATGAAATAATCCCTACATCATCTCAAGATAAATTTAAGACATTCTTAAATATAAGATCTACTTATGAATATCAGCCTTAGTTCCTTATTCTGAACTCTCTTTTATCAATACGAATACTTCTAAATGTAGTTTAAAAGTTTTCTGATTGGCTGGCAAGCACATTTAGAGACACTTATCGATAAGAGACAACTCAGAACATGAACATGTACCCTAAAGTACAAGACATTAAAAGATTTGTTATAATAATTACAATAATTCTATTTACAGGTTTATTAGCTATGTTGCTATAGTATCATTTCGCATTGCCGATGTTGGAGAACTGTTGGACTCTGCGAATGAATTACCACAATTAGGATATATGATGTATTTGTAACGAAACTTCAGTAGTATCAGATCATATGTTCAAATGATTAAAACCTTCATTAAAAGTATACGTTACACTAATTTGGTTATAGAAATCTTCAATTTTACAACCTTGTAAAAACATCTATTCATCAAATGACAAGCTGTTATTTCTTGAATCTTTTCATGTTAATGATGTGAAAATAAAAGAAACAGTATATCTCAAAAAATGTGTACAATTGCATAAATGTGTTACTTTGTATGTGCATATATATATGTGTGTGTGTGTACTATATAGATATTTAATTATAACATACACTGAAAAAAATATTTTTGAATCTTGTAATAGTTAACAAGTGTATTTGGTCAAACATCTCAGTGTAATATTTTCTCAGTGTAATAGTATCAAATATCACCAATAGTTAGCAGCTGTCTGGGAATGATTACAAAATAATAAAATAAATTTTTTATTTAATTTAACTTGAACCAATTAAATGTTTTGATAAATATATAATAGTGAATAATTTCGTTATAATTTCGTAATATTAACTATTACCAAAGTATTTGATCATTTTATACAATAAATTTATCATATAATATGATTGCTAAATAATATGGTTTTATTTTACAAATTGCTTGATGATACATACCATAAATTGCTAATAGTCACAAAGTCTTGGCAACAGATACTAAATCTTGCTAAGTTTATTCACTAATACCAAATTATTATTATTCACCTACACATTCAGTTAGTACTGTTTTACCAAGGCATCTGATAATTAATATTTCCGTTTGATGATTATTACCAAACCTTTTTTTCAGTGTATGTTTTCTCCAATACATAATAGGGACTCACAATAATGAATATACGCTATTTAAACTAGGTATAATTAGCCGTTAGAATTGAACACATATTTGCATGGATGTTACATACGTCTCAAGAGTTAGGGAGTTAAGTCTAAGATATTTGTACAAAATTCACTTAGGCTACGCGTTTGCGCCGCGTCATGTCCGTAATGCGATTCTCTGCGTCATTTATCACGTGTCAAAATCACGCTCGGGCAGACGAGGTCCTTTGCGATGCGATTGCTTCGGGTAATCTGCGCAGAATTAATAATCATTGTACGTGACGTTTACGTGAAGATGAGAGATCAGATGGTAAACTGTTCAGTGTATTGAGAAAATGCTCACGGCTGTTGTAATCTTCATGAGACCGATAAGAATCGAGGCAGTTAATCAGCGTGTCCATTACACGATGCCCCCATTCGTCTTCTTGCATCTATATAACCGATAAAACAAAGAATTACTTTCAACGATGATGTATCTTATCGTTTTTAGTTTTACTGAAGATATATATATATATGGATAATTTTCATAAATATGGAAAAAATAACTCAAGACGCGTCTCGAGTTTTTACTAACTCGTGGCTTTTCGTATCTCTTCTCGTTTTGCTTTCGACGCTTTCTGTTTACATTAAACTTCCCTCGTTTCTTCTTCGCTCTATGTTCACCGTCCCACTGCTGATCCTCGTTGTCGCTAACGTCCCTAATTAATGGTTGCTCCTCCACGTGTTTCTGTAGGATACAAAATTGTGTATCTTAGACTGTAAGCTGAACTTATTTTTTTCTTTCTTTTTTTATTATGAGAACAGTGATTCCAAGTTATAACTCTACCTCTTGCTGAAATACGTCTTCGTTGGATATAACACTGATTATTCGCTTAGCGCAGAATTTTTTTTTAGCGCAGCACGTCACCCATAATATCAGCAAGCATATGGACAGCATCACACTGAGGCTCGCCAGAGTCACCATCACAGCGGAGAACGAATTCCAGAGCTGCGACGGAATAACGCGTGTTACTATTCTATTCTATTAAACAATTCACGATACGTCCACGAAATAGTATCCAGATAACAACGGACCTTCTTCTTCATATTTTTAATACATTATTGTTTCTTAAATTTGGAACATCTGTTACAAGATAGATCTCATTTTTACATCATATTCTATCCTGCGCTAAATAATTCAAATTTATATTGCGTTACACATATGAAATATTCTTTAGGTAACGACAGGTTTTCATCTCCGTATTTTTAACGTGGTCGTTTTCTAGATCTGGAGCATCTATTATATTATAAAGTGAATCTTATTTTGGCATTACATTCGCGATTCTGTCTTAAACAATTCAAATTCACGGGTACGTCTCCCCGAAATATTCTTCAGATACTATAAAATTTCCACTTTTATATTTTTAACGCACAGTTGTATTTTTATATCTGAATTGTTTATGTGCTAAGATGGATCTCGTTCGAGTATCGATTCGTACCATATTGTAGCAGCCTCTCATAAATGGACTAGTACACGTACGACAAACTCTGGCGCCATGATTGGGCTGATAAGTGCCAGGTGGGCATCTTTTACAACGCGATATCCCGTCCTCGCTGTAAGTATCCACGTCGCAAGGAACTACAAGTACATCGTTTTCTTTGCATTCCCAATAAGCATTAAATATCAGTAACCTAAGAAAATTGATAGCAGAGCAAATTAGCAGCAAATCTGATCAAAATCCCACTTCGAAACCATAATAATTATCTGTATATCATAATAATCTGTGTTTGCATTCAGCTCGTGTTTTATCATCAGAATCTGTTGCCAATATGCCATCAGATCGTTACACGCTCGATTTCTGTTACCAATTTGGTCGGATCTATCAGCAGGCTGTATCATATTTTTGACGGCAGTTTGGCGACATAATCAGATATAATAAATTCTGTGTTGGATTTGCTGTCTTTCTGCCATAAAAAAATTTGTAACAGGCTCTGTTTAAAATCTATTTGCGTAGATTTGACTATCTGGGATAATCGATGTTATAATGTTAACACTAGATTTACGCAACATTTTCACGTCAATTTGATGGGTTTCGGATTTCACAAGCAAAATTACAGAAACTATTATTATTTTTTAGTAATTTTTGTTGACTTTTATTAATGGAATGATACGAATATATATCCAAATTATTCATTTACTCCTCAGACTTCTAATTTTGAAATTCTCTATATCGTACACCTATTTCTCCGGATACCCATCAAATTGCCCGGTATCTAATCTATTGTTAACTCAATTATATAGAATGTCACATGTTAGGTATATGTTATATAACAGTCATATATCATATGATGGAACTAACATTGTAACATCAATGTTACGTTATTGATATTTAGTTTAGTGATGTTTAGTGGATTATTTCTCACAGTGCCGTCGTTCGAACGACACGTGTGACTCACGTACCACAATGCGTACCGCGAAGACCATATCCGGCCGGGCAGCTGGAAAATAAGCCGATGTCATAGCCGAATCCATCGCTGGGCGCGCTCTTGCCGCTCCTGGCTCTTTTCTGTCTCGCGGGCTTTTCCACGCTCGGCACCAATCTCTGCTCGAAATGGGGTAATCTGAAAATAACTGTAGTTAAAGAACTCTATAGAGATGCTATTGTGAATTGCAGCGTCGCAACGCACGTACACAGAGTGTTGTGATACAAATTGCGACCGAATTAAAAAGAGCGTCAACACTAACTGGTTTTCCCGAAGAAGATCTGTAGATTTTTAATCAGTATCAACGAGAGTTTGTCTTGAATGGCTCTGAGGCAGAAGACATTGCAATGCTTGTGGTCGATCGTCGTCAATTTCACGGTGTGCGACGGCACAATCAGAACGTTCATCGTGATCTGTAATGAGAGTTACAGATATATCTTCTTATTGAAAGATTTGCGCGGAATATAATGTATTAGATTAGTGCAAAAGTTTGTGAAGATACAAAGGTGTTTGTCAAATAAAATAGGAAACAAAATTATCCAAACTTGGAAGATTACTTTTTACAAAAAACAACTTTGGCTCAGTATTTTTTTAATCATCTAAGGAGGACCTTTTCTTTTGATATGCGAATTTCCTATGCGAATTTAATAGAAAAACGGCAAAAATCTTTTGTACCAATCAAATATTAATAAAAGAAATATAACGAAAATCCGATGAATCTTTTTGCGAGCTTCCAAATATTGATCAAGTATCTTTTCTCCAACGTGAATTCGCGAAAAGTAAAAGTTACGTTGAGTGAAATTCGTCAATGAAAACTATCTTTACAGTAAATATGCTACTATATATAACATTAGTGATAATATATATACAACGACTATTTTTTTTACTTAAACAACGGGAAATATCGTCAAATTTGCGATGCGATTGGCGTCGAAGATGAAAATTAAAAAAACACTTCACGAGTTTACAATAAAGGAAAATATGCGTGTGATCAATACCCTGGATATGTAATATTAAGAGGAATTACTTGGCTGCGGGAGCAAGATGGTGTCAAGACGTAGGCGTTGCAGATATCTACCTCGCACAGAACATTATTCAACTTCAAGGGAAGATATGTCGCCAACGCGTCCAAAGCTCTCTCGTCGCAAAATCGCACGCGATAACGACCCTCGCCGTGCAAAATGTATCTCGGTAGCGTGACGACTGCGAACAATATTCCCTTAACTTTCCGAGGATTGAGGATTAAATCGACGAATTCTTACCTCGCAGGCGAACCTCGTAAGTGGCCTCCACGGGCTCCTCATTGTCGGCGCCCGTGTACGTCACGACGCACGTGTAATTCCCCGTGTCTTTCGCGTTTACATTGCGTAACTCCAAATCACCGTTCTCCGTCACGAAACCTGGCGGAAGAGACTCGTTTGAAAAAGAAATACGCAATTTTTCTCCTTCGAATGTCGCGTGACGCTACCGTAAAGCGCGATACCGTCCGTCCGTTTCCACGTGTAACTCGGTCTGCTGACACTCGACAGCCAAGTGATACCGTCGCCGTCTCGGTTACAGGGTACGTTCAGATTGAGACCTGGCAGCGAAATAATATCGCGATCTGAAAAAGGGAAACAAAAAAATTATCCTTGTCATATTAATTTTCTCTAATACAGTTCGTTATGTGAATCGCGTTGATATTAAATGTTAAATCAATCCGAAAGTGCAATTTGATTTTTGAGTCGAATTTAATTCCGTTGTGTTCGATGGAAACAAATTATTCATCTAATTTCATCAGTTCAAAAAATCTCCATCATTATTTATGGTTCTTTTCATCAATATCCTATTTTTTATTGTAGAAAACGCTGTAGAAAAAAATTACTCTAGAAAATGGTCGACTTATATCGTCTTATAAGAAGACGGAAAGTGTTGAACCGATTTTTTTTATTGATTCGAGATTCGCCAAAACATTGCGAAGGAAACGATAAAATACCGTTCTCGAGCGCCAAATCGCCTTTGGAATCGCTGCCAAGCTCCTCCGACTTGATGTACTTTTGGCCCTTCAGCGATTCGGTGTTGTAACGCGGCTGTGGAAACACCCTAGCGTCCTCCTCCACATCCGAGTCCACCGAGATCACTATCTTGTCTTGGGTCTCTTTGTACTTGCTGCAATTGAGCGCCTTAATCTCGTCCAACGGATAGCTCAGTCTATCCAGGACCGATTTCACGCGGTCGATCATGTCTACGACGTCGCAGATGCAATCCGCGCAACCGCGCGTCTTCCTCGCGGATTTATTTTTGTGCTCAGCGAGTGTGACATCGCGACGCGCCAATTTCCCGTCGTTTCTTCCGCCGTTGCTGTTCTTCACTCGAATGCGACGATCCACGATTGCCCTCGTGATCGTTCTCTTGCGTTGATCTGAATTTCTTTTATTAGCAACACAGCTATCTGCTTCCCGCATTTGCGGGGCGTGCGAATTGATGACGTCTCGTGATTTGTGTGATTCGGTCGATTTTGCTTTCTTATCGTTGCATTTAGTATTTCTGATGTCTTTGTGCTGGGCGACTGGATGTTTCAACTTGTTCTCATTGATTCCGAACAACTGGCGGCCTTTCGTCAACGCTGGAAGCTCGTCGGTATTCGGAAACTCGTCAAATTTTGGCACACTTCTTCTCTCGGCACTCCTCTTCGTTCTTGGCTTGTCGTTCTGCAATATATGTTCAGTCGTTACGTTCTGAAGAAAATTATCTCGTTGTCCGACCGAAATCGCAGGGAAGCGAACGCTCCCTTCACGATGACGTGCTTCACGCTTCGTTCTTGTGTGATTTCTTTCGTTCTTAAAAACGACGTAGAAACACGTCGTTCTAGTAATCGATAGATCGATAGTTTTAGTAGCTGTGTCAGTAGTAGGGCTAAATGTATCCATTGTCTCCGTGTCTCGGGACTCGAGCTCCCAATATCTGGTGCCACCCAAGTGGTACGTCGTACTTCTTTCCGTGGGCCAAGCTTGATCTATTAACTCCTTCTGCTTTCCTATCAGTGTTCCACGTTCGCTTGGATCGACTAAAATTTTCACGTCGTGCGTCGGTGTCGATATCCTCGCTTGATCTGCAATGATTCGTACACTCAAACAAATATAATCTCACCTCTAGCAAAATCCTCTTATATATATAACCTCGAGAGAATTCTTCTAAAAGCGAAAGGAGAATATTTCAAGGGCACAATATTATTATTAAGAAAAAAGTATAAATAAAAAATAAATAAAATAATTTTTGTAACAGCTAAAGTTAAAGTTTATTTTTTCTTTTCTCTTTAAGAAATATCGGGCTTTTTCACTTTCTGTCGAGTTCTCACCGTAATCATCTTCCTTTGCTTCTTCTTCTTCGTCCTCTTTTTCCTCTTCTTCGTTTTCTTTTTCTCTTATTTTCTCTGACAAGTCATTATCTTCTTCCTCTGCATCATCTTTCTCCACATCATTCTTCTGTCCAAATTCGCGATACGGTTTGGTAATTTCACCACTTTCTGCAAAGTCCGTGACACGTTCGAAATCGTCGTCTCCGTCGTCTTCATACTCTTGCTCATTGCTCGATTCGATCGTGGACGCCGTCGCTTCATTCTCATCTGGTTTAACGGATATTGTCTGGTGTGTCTCTTCGTCTTCGTCGTACTTAAGACGCAGCACGTTCACCGTGTAAGGTCCGAACTCGTCTTCATCTGATGTCTCCTCTTCGGTGGTTGAAGTATTGCCGACCGTTACTTCGTCGTTATTGTCGGGCGGATCGTTTTCTCTCTTACGAATTGAATCACCTCCAGGAAAAACGCTTCTCTTCCTATATCCTTTATCACCTGACATAGCCGTAGTGGTTGGTCGAAAGAAACCCTCGTGTCGTTCGAGCACATGTCGTTCGTACAGAGAAGTTGTAGCTCGAGGACCGTTATCGTTTCTTCGCGCATTGGTAATAGCCGCGGCATTCTTCGGGGAAATTCTCCTCGTTCCTTCGTACATCCTGGTGAAGCCTTTGAAATGTCTCAGCGATTTTGTAGTTTCGTTACTCAGCCATTCGCGATGCGACAGCTGCAGGTTGCTGATCTTACGAGCGCCTGCCACTCTCCGTTTTTTCCCGCGCCGGAGATCTGGCAGATGATTCACTCTCGGCTCTTCGATCTCTCTCGCGACTTGGACAGCGAGGATCTTCCTACCTAATCGACCGACTGACTTCTTCACTTCCTTCCTCTCGGGGAAATACGGCAGGCAAACCTTCTTCGTCACTACGTCTCGTCTTCTTTTCTCGTAAGGGATCGTCGTATTCGCCAGGACATTCAGACATATTCTTTTCGTCACGAGCTCTTCTTCTTTCTCCGGCGTAATGGCTTCCTCAGGAAAGTACATCGTTCGTTTCTTCTCCTCTGTAGTTTCCCGTCGAGGTGTTATCACCGGAGTTTTCTTCTTCTCCGTTGTCTTCTCGACCGGTGTGGTGACTCGGCCTCTTACAGTCGTAGGCATCTCAATCGGTGGCACTGGCGTTGTTAAACTTGTCGGCGCGGTCGACTCCTCGGACGTCGCAGTCGATTCCTCGGACGTCGCGGTCGACTCCTTGGATGTCGAAGTCAACTTCTCGAATAACGCAGTCGACATGTCGATTTCTTCTCTCTCCAGCTCCTCCATATATTTCTCGAATTTTTCCGTATCTTCCTCCAGTCTCCGTTCTCTCTCCAGCAACATTTTCTCTCTCTCCTCAAGGTCGTGTTCCTTCTCGCGCAATTGCTTTTTCAGGTTTTCTATCTCTTTATCGTATTCGCTCTCTGTGACAGCGATCAAAATCGCATCAGTAACCGAAGTAATCACCAGTGCAGGCGAGGTAAAAAACGGTTCATAACTCGTAGTAGATATTTCTTCAACGGTATAAGGAGTGGAGATTTCCACTGAAGTTAAATCTGCATAATACGTTTCTTCCGTCTCCTCCTCAGTCAACGTAGTCGATGTGCTCTTCTCTGTGGAATAAAATGACGTCGTTTCCATCCAAGCTGTGGTGACTTTATCCACACTAGTACTCAACGTGGTAAACGTCGTGTCGAGAACAGAAGGCGTGACCTCGAGCGTAGTGGCAATTGACGCAGTCAGGATCTCTGTACTGACAGCTTCTGTGTCAATCACGGTAATCATGGTCGAATCGGTAATGATGGGCGTAATATCGGTCGCGGTTGTGCTGGTCACAGTTGTAGTTTCCTCCATTTCTTCTTCCTTACGTTGCATCATCTTCTCTTTACGTCTCTTCTTCTCTCGGTCCCATTGTCGCTCCTTCTCTTTCAGCCTTTCCTCTCTTTCCGCAATTTTTTTCTCATGACGCGTTAGCTCGTCAAATTCCTGCAGCAGCCGTTTCTTCTGTTCCTCTCGCACCACGTCTTCTCCAATCTTACTCATCGTGGTGAGCTTAGCTTCAATTTCCGGCACGGTGAACGGTGTAACGAGATATGGAAGGATTTCCTCGATCCTAAGCTTCGTTGTGTCCGTGTATGTAGTGATAGTAACGCTCCCGATATCGTAAATTGTACTTTCTTCTGTGACGAATGTCGTCTTCAATGACTGAGTGGTAACTTCATAACTAGTAATCTCGTATTCCAAGTCGTAGGCCACAGAACTCACGGTTGTCGCGTACACGTCCATCAATTCTTCCTCTGATAACGTCGTAAGCACCGGCGAGACGAAGACGAAAGTTGTCTTCTCAACGGGAACACGTTCCGAAGTTGTGCCTATCTTCGCGAACGTCGTCTTCTCCAACTCGACCTCCCGTTCGGGAATCTCCTCAGGCTTCGTGATAGGCTTCAGCCAATCGGGCATTGTGTATACATACTTAGCAGGAATCGTTAGACTCTCGAGCGGTTTCGTCGTGATCTCGAGAACTGTCGAAGAGGGAAGGGTATATTCTTCCGTGGAGCCGAAGGTTACACTCGTCGTGACAGTTTTTTCCTTTTCGCTCGTGAACTCAATAGTTTCGGTAAACTCCGTAGTTTTCAGCGTCTTCGCTTTCTCCACAATGGTTGACGTAGACGTTTCCAAAGCGACAGTTGGGGTAACTTCTTCGTCGACATATGTACGACTAGGTATTCTCGAGGTAGTAAAAGTCACGTTGACACGAATCGTCGTCGCAGTCTCAGAGATTGTCGGAGATGTTGCGAACTCAGAAGTCTTAGTTTCGTACGGAAATGTTGTCACAGCTTCGACGAGAGGAGGAAGGCTGGTCACTCTTCTTTCAGGTAACGTTATGTAACTCACTGTGCTCGATGTGACGATTTCTTTCTGAACAGTTCTTTCCTTCGTCGTAGTTTCGTATTCGTCATAGTAATACCACCTGTCAGTCGGTATTTCTGTATCGTATTCTTCTTCTTCTTCTTCTTCGTACTGTGCTTCCAACGCTTTGTCCACGTAATATTCCGTCTCGACTTCAGGCGTCACTTTAGTGGTCGCAACTGAAGTTAAATTAGTTATGGGAACTGTTGTTTCGATAAATGATATCGTGGAGCTCTCAGTCGTACTCGGTGTTGTAAACTCCTCCGTTTCTGAGATAATCTCCGGCAACACGAAAGTAACTTTCGTTGTGGTTACAAGCGTTTCCGTTGTAACTAACGTCGACTTGGTGAACGAAGTTTCAGTGGTTACAATTTCTAAAACATGTTCCAGTCTTTCAGTAGTTGGCGATAAGGTGACAACAGTTATCGTCTCTATGCTTGTCTCTATTGTTTCTGTGGTGATTTCCGGTAAAATTGTAGTAGTCGTTACGATTTCCGTCGCATTGAGTATTGTCGGTACAAAGCTGGTACTTGGGGTAATAGTTTCTTCTTCAAATACGATGCTTCTCTCAGTAGAAATCCATGTAATTCCTGTAGATGTTGTGATTTCTTCAGTTGTAAAGGTAATACTAGCAGTCTTTTCAGATGATGTAGTGAAGTTAACGCTGATAAATTCTTCAGTCGTTAAGGTTGTGGTTTCTTCAGTGATCACAGTAGCAGTAGTTACAACTGGCATTACCGCGGTGATAGTTGGAGTCAAGAGTGAAGTAACTGTCTCTGCAAGTGACGTTGCTTCTGTAGTGGTTTCAGTGAAAAATATGGTAGGTGATGGCAGATACGTTGGTGTTGTCACTTCTGCAATAGTTTCTTTGGTAATAATCGAAATCGTAGTGCTCTCTTCTTTCGTCTCAGCTGTGCTCGCAGTCGCCATTATTCCTTCTTCTGTACTTGTTTCGCGATAATATTCCTCGTATTCTTCAGGAGTTGTTCCAATAATCGCCGTAACAGTTGTGAGTGGAATTTCGGTGGTAAAAGGCATAGTGAAATTCTCGAGGAGAGATATTGTGCTTTCGAGAATTTCCGTCGTGATTGTACTAGTAGTTGTACTGAGAACTGTCGCATTCACTGTCGTATCTGTCATGATCGGAGACGTCTCAATAGATACTGTTGTAGGAATCGGCGATGTGGTTATGGTTTCAAGTCTCTCAATTGGAAACGTTGTCATTGTAATAATTATCATCGGAGAAATTGTACTTTCAGTAGTTTTTGTCAAAAATGTGCTTAAAGTTGTGGTAGGGATAGTAGTCAATCGAATTTCGGTAATTGTGGAAGTTTCTGTAGTTGTTAATACTTCCACGGTTGTTGGAATTTCAATAGTTGTTGAAGATTCAGTAGTTGATGAAGTTTCAGTGGTTGTTCGAATTTCCACAGTTGTAGTTTCTGTTACCGTTGGTACTTTAGTAGTTATTTGAGTTTCGGTAATCGTCGATGTTACGATAGCAGTTAGGGTTTCGGCAATAGTTGGAGATTCTTTAGTTGTTTCGATGGTAGTGATTGGAATTTTCGTAGTTGTACTTTCTGTTGTTATTGGAGTTTTAGAAATTGTTACAATTTCAATAGTGGTTGGAACCTCGATGGATGTTGGAGTTTTGGCAGTTGATGGAGTTTCGCTAATTGTTGATATTTCAATAGTAGCTAGAACCTCGGTGGTTGTTAGGATTTCGGCAGTCGATAGAGTTTCGGCAGTTGATGGAGTTTCAATAGTTGTTGGCAATTCAGTAGTAGTTAAAACCTCGATGGTTATTAGAGTTTCGCCAGTTGTTAGAATTTCAGTAGTAGCTAGAACCTCGATGGTTGTTGGAGTTTCGGTCGATGGAATTTCGGTAGTGGTAATTTCACTAGTAGCTAAAACCTCGATAGTTGAAATTTCAGCAGTCGATGGAGTTTCAGTAGTTGTTGACATTTCAGTAGTGGTTGGAATCTCGGTGGATGTTGGAGTTTTGGTAGTTGTTGGAATTTCACTAGTGGCTAGAATCTCGATGGTTGTTGGAGTTTCGGCAGTTTTTGGAATTTCAGTAGTAGTTAGAACCTTGATGCTTGTTGAAGTTTCGGTAGTTGATGGAATTTCGATTGTTGTAATTTTACTAGTAGTTAGAACCTCGATAGTTGTTGAAATTTCGGCAGTTGATGGAGTTTCGGTAGTTGTTGACATTTCAGTAGTAGCTGGAATCTCGGTAGGTGTTAGAGTTTCGGCAATCAATGGAGTTTTGGTAGTTGTTGGAATTTCACTAGTGGCTAAAATCTCGACGGTTGTTGGAGTTTCGGTCGATGGAATTTCGGTCGTTATAATTTCACTAGTAGCTAAAACCTCGACAGTTGTTGAAATTTTAGCAGTCGATGAAGTTTCGGTAGTTGTTGACATTTCAGTAGTGGTTGGAATCTCGGTGGATGTTGGAGTTTCAGCAGTCGATGGAGTTTCGGTAGTTGTTGACATTTCAGTAGTGGTTGGAATCTCGGTGGATGTTGGAGTTTCAGCAGTCGATGGAGTTTTGGTAGTTAATGGAGTTTTGGTAGTTAATGGAATTTCGATTGTTGTAATTTTACTAGTAGTTAGAACCTCGATAGTTGTTGAAATTTCGGCAGTCGATGGAGTTTTGGTAGTTGTTGACATTTCAGTAGTAGCTGGAATCTCGGTGGGTGTTGGAGTTTCGGCAATCGATGGAGTTTTGGTAGTTGTTGGAATTTCACTAGTGGCTAAAATCTCGACGGTTGTTGGAGTTTCCGCAGTTGTTGAAATTTCAGTAGTAGCTAGAACCTTGATAGTTGTTGGAGTTTCGATCGATGGAATTTCGGTCGTTATAATTTCACCAGTAGCTAAAACCTCGACAGTTGTTGAAATTTTAGCAGTCGATGAAGTTTCGGTAGTTGTTGACATTTCAGTAGTGGTTGGAATCTCGGTGGATGTTGGAGTTTCAGCAGTCGATGGAGTTTTGGTAGTTAATGGAGTTTTGGTAGTTAATGGAATTTCGATTGTTGTAATTTTACTAGTAGTTAGAACCTCGATAGTTGTTGAAATTTCGGCAGTCGATGGAGTTTTGGTAGTTGTTGACATTTCAGTAGTAGCTGGAATCTCGGTGGGTGTTGGAGTTTCGGCAATCGATGGAGTTTTGGTAGTTGTTGGAATTTCACTAGTGGCTAAAATCTCGACGGTTGTTGGAGTTTCCGCAGTTGTTGAAATTTCAGTAGTAGCTAGAACCTCGATAGTTGTTGGAGTTTCGGTCGATGGAATTTCGGTCGTTATAATTTCACTAGTAGCTAAAACCTCGACAGTTGTTGAAATTTTAGCAGTCGATGAAGTTTCGGTAGTTGTTGGAATTTCACTAGTGGCTAGAACCTCGATGGTTATTGGAGTTTCAGTAGTTGATGGAATTTCGATTGTTGTAATTTTACTAGTAGTTAGAACCTTGATAGTTGAAATTTCGGCAGTCGATGGAGTTTCGGTAGTTGTTGACATTTCAGTAGTAGCTGGAATCTCGGTGGGTGTTGGAGTTTCGGCAATCGATGGAGTTTTGGTAGTTGTTGGAATTTCAGTAGTAGCTAAAATCTCGACGGTTGTTGGAGTTTCCGCAGTTGTTGAAATTTCAGTAGTAGCTAGAACCTCGATAGTTGTTGGAGTTTCGGTCGATGGAATTTCGGTCGTTATAATTTCACTAGTAGCTAAAACCTCGACAGTTGTTGAAATTTTAGCAGTCGATGAAGTTTCGGTAGTTGTTGGAATTTCACTAGTGGCTAGAACCTCGATGGTTATTGGAGTTTCAGTAGTTGATGGAATTTCGATTGTTGTAATTTTACTAGTAGTTAGAACCTTGATAGTTGAAATTTCGGCAGTCGATGGAGTTTCGGTAGTTGTTGACATTTCAGTAGTAGCTGGAATCTCGGTGGGTGTTGGAGTTTCGGCAATCGATGGAGTTTTGGTAGTTGTTGGAATTTCAGTAGTAGCTAGAACTTCGATGGTTGTTGGAGTTTCGGTCGATGGAATTTCAGTAGTGGTAATTTCACTAGTAGCTAAAACCTTGATAGTTGTTGAAATTTCAGCAATCGATGGAGTTTCGGTAGTTGTTGACATTTCAGTAGTGGTTGGAATCTCGGTGGATGTTGGAGTTTCGGCAGTCGATGGAGTTTTGGTAGTTGTTGGAATTTCACTAGTGGCTAAAACCTCGATGGTTATTGGAGTTTCGGCAGTTGTTGGAATTTCAGTAGTAGTTAGAACTTCGATGCTTATTGGAGTTTCGGTAGTTGATGGAATTTCGATTGTTGTAATTTTACTAGTAGTTAGAACCTCAATAGTTGTTGAAATTTCAGCAGTCGATGGAATTTCGGTAGTTGTTGAAATTTCAGTAGTAGTTGGAATCTCGGTGGATGTTGGAATTTCGGCAGTCGATGGAGTTTTAGTAGTTGTTGAAATTTCACTAGTGGCTGGAATCTCGATGGTTGTTGGAGTTTCGGCAGTTGTTGAAATTTCAATAGTAGTTAGAACTTCGATGCTTGTTGGAGTTTCGGTAGTTGATAGAATTTCGGTTGTTGTAATTTTACTAGTAGTTAGAACCTCGATAGTTGTTGAAATTTCGGCAGTCGATGGAGTTTCGGTAGTTGTTGACATTTCAGTAGTAGCTGGAATCTCGGTGGGTGTTGGAGTTTCGGCAATCGATGGAGTTTTGGTAGTTGTTGGAATTTCACTAGTGGCTAAAATCTCGACGGTTGTTGGAGTTTCCGCAGTTGTTGAAATTTCAGTAGTAGCTAGAACCTCGATAGTTGTTGGAGTTTCGGTCGATGGAATTTCGGTCGTTATAATTTCACTAGTAGCTAAAACCTCGACAGTTGTTGAAATTTTAGCAGTCGATGAAGTTTCGGTAGTTGTTGGAATTTCACTAGTGGCTAGAACCTCGATGGTTATTGGAGTTTCAGTAGTTGATGGAATTTCGATTGTTGTAATTTTACTAGTAGTTAGAACCTTGATAGTTGAAATTTCGGCAGTCGATGGAGTTTCGGTAGTTGTTGACATTTCAGTAGTAGCTGGAATCTCGGTGGGTGTTGGAGTTTCGGCAATCGATGGAGTTTTGGTAGTTGTTGGAATTTCACTAGTGGCTAGAACCTCGATGGTTATTGGAGTTTCGGCAGTTGTTGGAATTTCAGTAGTAGTTAGAACTTCGATGCTTATTGGAGTTTCGGTAGTTGATGGAATTTCGATTGTTGTAATTTTACTAGTAGTTAGAACCTCAATAGTTGTTGAAATTTCAGCAGTCGATGGAATTTCGGTAGTTGTTGAAATTTCAGTAGTAGTTGGAATCTCGGTGGATGTTGGAATTTCGGCAGTCGATGGAGTTTTAGTAGTTGTTGAAATTTCACTAGTGGCTGGAATCTCGATGGTTGTTGGAGTTTCGGCAGTTGTTGAAATTTCAATAGTAGTTAGAACTTCGATGCTTGTTGGAGTTTCGGTAGTTGATAGAATTTCGGTTGTTGTAATTTTACTAGTAGTTAGAACCTCGATAGTTGTTGAAATTTCGGCAGTCGATGGAGTTTCGGTAGTTGTTGACATTTCAGTAGTAGCTGGAATCTCGGTGGGTGTTGGAGTTTCGGCAATCGATGGAGTTTTGGTAGTTGTTGGAATTTCACTAGTGGCTAGAACCTCGATGGTTATTGGAGTTTCGGTAGTTGATGAAATTTCGATTGTTGTAATTTTACTAGTAGTTAGAACCTCGATAGTTGTTGAAATTTCAGCAGTCGATGGAGTTTCGGTAGTTGTTGACATTTCAGTAGTAGCTGGAATCTCGGTGGGTATTGGAGTTTCGGCAATCGATGGAGTTTTGGTAGTTGTTGGAATTTCACTAGTGGCTAGAACCTCGATGCTTATTGGAGTTTCGGTAGTTGATGAAATTTCGATTGTTGTAATTTTACTAGTAGTTAGAACCTCGATAGTTGTTGAAATTTCAGCAGTCGATGGAGTTTCGGTAGTTGTTGACATTTCAGTAGTAGCTGGAATCTCGGTGGGTATTGGAGTTTCGGCAATCGATGCAGTTTTGGTAGTTGTTGGAATTTCACTAGTGGCTGGAATCTTGATGGTTGTTGGCGTTTCGGCAATTGTTAAAATTTCAGTAGTAGTTAGAACCTCGATGCTTGTTGGAGTTTCGGTAGTTGATGGAATTTCGATTGTTGTAATTTTACTAGTAGTTAGAACCTCGATAGTTGTTGAAATTTCGGCAGTCGATGGAGTTTCGGTAGTTGTTGACATTTCAGTAGTAGCTGGAATCTCGGTGGGTGTTGGAGTTTCGGCAATCGATGGAGTTTTGGTAGTTGTTGGAATTTCACTAGTGGCTAAAATCTCGACGGTTGTTGGAGTTTCCGCAGTTGTTGAAATTTCAGTAGTAGCTAGAACCTCGATAGTTGTTGGAGTTTCGGTCGATGGAATTTCGGTCGTTATAATTTCACTAGTAGCTAAAACCTCGACAGTTGTTGAAATTTTAGCAGTCGATGAAGTTTCGGTAGTTGTTGGAATTTCACTAGTGGCTAGAACCTCGATGGTTATTGGAGTTTCAGTAGTTGATGGAATTTCGATTGTTGTAATTTTACTAGTAGTTAGAACCTTGATAGTTGAAATTTCGGCAGTCGATGGAGTTTCGGTAGTTGTTGACATTTCAGTAGTAGCTGGAATCTCGGTGGGTGTTGGAGTTTCGGCAATCGATGGAGTTTTGGTAGTTGTTGGAATTTCACTAGTGGCTAAAATCTCGACGGTTGTTGGAGTTTCCGCAGTTGTTGAAATTTCAGTAGTAGCTAGAACCTCGATAGTTGTTGGAGTTTCGGTCGATGGAATTTCGGTCGTTATAATTTCACTAGTAGCTAAAACCTCGACAGTTGTTGAAATTTTAGCAGTCGATGAAGTTTCGGTAGTTGTTGGAATTTCACTAGTGGCTAGAACCTCGATGGTTATTGGAGTTTCAGTAGTTGATGGAATTTCGATTGTTGTAATTTTACTAGTAGTTAGAACCTTGATAGTTGAAATTTCGGCAGTCGATGGAGTTTCGGTAGTTGTTGACATTTCAGTAGTAGCTGGAATCTCGGTGGGTGTTGGAGTTTCGGCAATCGATGGAGTTTTGGTAGTTGTTGGAATTTCAGTAGTAGCTAGAACTTCGATGGTTGTTGGAGTTTCGGTCGATGGAATTTCAGTAGTGGTAATTTCACTAGTAGCTAAAACCTTGATAGTTGTTGAAATTTCAGCAATCGATGGAGTTTCGGTAGTTGTTGACATTTCAGTAGTGGTTGGAATCTCGGTGGATGTTGGAGTTTCGGCAGTCGATGGAGTTTTGGTAGTTGTTGGAATTTCACTAGTGGCTAAAACCTCGATGGTTATTGGAGTTTCGGCAGTTGTTGGAATTTCAGTAGTAGTTAGAACTTCGATGCTTATTGGAGTTTCGGTAGTTGATGGAATTTCGATTGTTGTAATTTTACTAGTAGTTAGAACCTCAATAGTTGTTGAAATTTCAGCAGTCGATGGAATTTCGGTAGTTGTTGAAATTTCAGTAGTAGTTGGAATCTCGGTGGATGTTGGAATTTCGGCAGTCGATGGAGTTTTAGTAGTTGTTGAAATTTCACTAGTGGCTGGAATCTCGATGGTTGTTGGAGTTTCGGCAGTTGTTGAAATTTCAATAGTAGTTAGAACTTCGATGCTTGTTGGAGTTTCGGTAGTTGATAGAATTTCGGTTGTTGTAATTTTACTAGTAGTTAGAACCTCGATAGTTGTTGAAATTTCGGCAGTCGATGGAGTTTCGGTAGTTGTTGACATTTCAGTAGTAGCTGGAATCTCGGTGGGTGTTGGAGTTTCGGCAATCGATGGAGTTTTGGTAGTTGTTGGAATTTCACTAGTGGCTAAAATCTCGACGGTTGTTGGAGTTTCCGCAGTTGTTGAAATTTCAGTAGTAGCTAGAACCTCGATAGTTGTTGGAGTTTCGGTCGATGGAATTTCGGTCGTTATAATTTCACTAGTAGCTAAAACCTCGACAGTTGTTGAAATTTTAGCAGTCGATGAAGTTTCGGTAGTTGTTGGAATTTCACTAGTGGCTAGAACCTCGATGGTTATTGGAGTTTCAGTAGTTGATGGAATTTCGATTGTTGTAATTTTACTAGTAGTTAGAACCTTGATAGTTGAAATTTCGGCAGTCGATGGAGTTTCGGTAGTTGTTGACATTTCAGTAGTAGCTGGAATCTCGGTGGGTGTTGGAGTTTCGGCAATCGATGGAGTTTTGGTAGTTGTTGGAATTTCACTAGTGGCTAGAACCTCGATGGTTATTGGAGTTTCGGCAGTTGTTGGAATTTCAGTAGTAGTTAGAACTTCGATGCTTATTGGAGTTTCGGTAGTTGATGGAATTTCGATTGTTGTAATTTTACTAGTAGTTAGAACCTCAATAGTTGTTGAAATTTCAGCAGTCGATGGAATTTCGGTAGTTGTTGAAATTTCAGTAGTAGTTGGAATCTCGGTGGATGTTGGAATTTCGGCAGTCGATGGAGTTTTAGTAGTTGTTGAAATTTCACTAGTGGCTGGAATCTCGATGGTTGTTGGAGTTTCGGCAGTTGTTGAAATTTCAATAGTAGTTAGAACTTCGATGCTTGTTGGAGTTTCGGTAGTTGATAGAATTTCGGTTGTTGTAATTTTACTAGTAGTTAGAACCTCGATAGTTGTTGAAATTTCGGCAGTCGATGGAGTTTCGGTAGTTGTTGACATTTCAGTAGTAGCTGGAATCTCGGTGGGTGTTGGAGTTTCGGCAATCGATGGAGTTTTGGTAGTTGTTGGAATTTCACTAGTGGCTAGAACCTCGATGGTTATTGGAGTTTCGGTAGTTGATGAAATTTCGATTGTTGTAATTTTACTAGTAGTTAGAACCTCGATAGTTGTTGAAATTTCAGCAGTCGATGGAGTTTCGGTAGTTGTTGACATTTCAGTAGTAGCTGGAATCTCGGTGGGTATTGGAGTTTCGGCAATCGATGGAGTTTTGGTAGTTGTTGGAATTTCACTAGTGGCTAGAACCTCGATGCTTATTGGAGTTTCGGTAGTTGATGAAATTTCGATTGTTGTAATTTTACTAGTAGTTAGAACCTCGATAGTTGTTGAAATTTCAGCAGTCGATGGAGTTTCGGTAGTTGTTGACATTTCAGTAGTAGCTGGAATCTCGGTGGGTATTGGAGTTTCGGCAATCGATGCAGTTTTGGTAGTTGTTGGAATTTCACTAGTGGCTGGAATCTTGATGGTTGTTGGCGTTTCGGCAATTGTTAAAATTTCAGTAGTAGTTAGAACCTCGATGCTTGTTGGAGTTTCGGTAGTTGATGGAATTTCGATTGTTGTAATTTTACTAGTAGTTAGAACCTCGATAGTTGTTGAAATTTCGGCAGTCGATGGAGTTTCGGTAGTTGTTGACATTTCAGTAGTAGCTGGAATCTCGGTGGGTGTTGGAGTTTCGGCAATCGATGGAGTTTTGGTAGTTGTTGGAATTTCACTAGTGGCTAAAATCTCGACGGTTGTTGGAGTTTCCGCAGTTGTTGAAATTTCAGTAGTAGCTAGAACCTCGATAGTTGTTGGAGTTTCGGTCGATGGAATTTCGGTCGTTATAATTTCACTAGTAGCTAAAACCTCGACAGTTGTTGAAATTTTAGCAGTCGATGAAGTTTCGGTAGTTGTTGGAATTTCACTAGTGGCTAGAACCTCGATGGTTATTGGAGTTTCAGTAGTTGATGGAATTTCGATTGTTGTAATTTTACTAGTAGTTAGAACCTTGATAGTTGAAATTTCGGCAGTCGATGGAGTTTCGGTAGTTGTTGACATTTCAGTAGTAGCTGGAATCTCGGTGGGTGTTGGAGTTTCGGCAATCGATGGAGTTTTGGTAGTTGTTGGAATTTCACTAGTGGCTAAAATCTCGACGGTTGTTGGAGTTTCCGCAGTTGTTGAAATTTCAGTAGTAGCTAGAACCTCGATAGTTGTTGGAGTTTCGGTCGATGGAATTTCGGTCGTTATAATTTCACTAGTAGCTAAAACCTCGACAGTTGTTGAAATTTTAGCAGTCGATGAAGTTTCGGTAGTTGTTGGAATTTCACTAGTGGCTAGAACCTCGATGGTTATTGGAGTTTCAGTAGTTGATGGAATTTCGATTGTTGTAATTTTACTAGTAGTTAGAACCTTGATAGTTGAAATTTCGGCAGTCGATGGAGTTTCGGTAGTTGTTGACATTTCAGTAGTAGCTGGAATCTCGGTGGGTGTTGGAGTTTCGGCAATCGATGGAGTTTTGGTAGTTGTTGGAATTTCAGTAGTAGCTAGAACTTCGATGGTTGTTGGAGTTTCGGTCGATGGAATTTCAGTAGTGGTAATTTCACTAGTAGCTAAAACCTTGATAGTTGTTGAAATTTCAGCAATCGATGGAGTTTCGGTAGTTGTTGACATTTCAGTAGTGGTTGGAATCTCGGTGGATGTTGGAGTTTCGGCAGTCGATGGAGTTTTGGTAGTTGTTGGAATTTCACTAGTGGCTAAAACCTCGATGGTTATTGGAGTTTCGGCAGTTGTTGGAATTTCAGTAGTAGTTAGAACTTCGATGCTTATTGGAGTTTCGGTAGTTGATGGAATTTCGATTGTTGTAATTTTACTAGTAGTTAGAACCTCAATAGTTGTTGAAATTTCAGCAGTCGATGGAATTTCGGTAGTTGTTGAAATTTCAGTAGTAGTTGGAATCTCGGTGGATGTTGGAATTTCGGCAGTCGATGGAGTTTTAGTAGTTGTTGAAATTTCACTAGTGGCTGGAATCTCGATGGTTGTTGGAGTTTCGGCAGTTGTTGAAATTTCAATAGTAGTTAGAACTTCGATGCTTGTTGGAGTTTCGGTAGTTGATAGAATTTCGGTTGTTGTAATTTTACTAGTAGTTAGAACCTCGATAGTTGTTGAAATTTCGGCAGTCGATGGAGTTTCGGTAGTTGTTGACATTTCAGTAGTAGCTGGAATCTTGGTGGGTATTGGAGTTTCGGCAATCGATGGAGTTTTGGTAGTTGTTGGAATTTCACTAGTGGCTAGAACCTCGATGCTTATTGGAGTTTCGGTAGTTGATGAAATTTCGATTGTTGTAATTTTACTAGTAGTTAGAACCTCGATAGTTGTTGAAATTTCAGCAGTCGATGGAGTTTCGGTAGTTGTTGACATTTCAGTAGTAGCTGGAATCTCGGTGGGTATTGGAGTTTCGGCAATCGATGCAGTTTTGGTAGTTGTTGGAATTTCACTAGTGGCTGGAATCTTGATGGTTGTTGGCGTTTCGGCAATTGTTAAAATTTCAGTAGTAGTTAGAACCTCGATGCTTGTTGGAGTTTCGGTAGTTGATGGAATTTCGATTGTTGTAATTTTACTAGTAGTTAGAACCTCGATAGTTGTTGAAATTTCGGCAGTCGATGGAGTTTCGGTAGTTGTTGTCATTTCAGTAGTAGCTGGAATCTCGGTAGGTGTTGGAGTTTTAGTAGTAGCTAGAACCTCGATGGTTATTGGAGTTTCGGCAGTTGATAGAGTTTCAGTAGTAGCTAAAACTTCGATGGTTGTTAGAATTTCGGCAATCGATGGAGTTTCGACAATCAATGGAATTTCGGTAGTTGTAATAATTTTAGTAGTTTGAGTTTCGATAGTTATTGAAGTTTTAGTAACTACTAGTGTCTCGGTAATGATCAGAGCTTCTGTGGTTGTTGCAATTTCGACTGTAGTAGTTGGCATTTTGGCAATTATTGTACTTTCTGTTGTTACTGGAGTTTCGAAAATTGTCAATGTCTCAGTAGTAGTCAAAACTTCAATGGTTGTTGGAGTTTTTGGCGTTTTGATGGTTGTAGTTGCTATTGTTGTGATTTCAGTAGTTCTTGTAGTGGTGGGAACTTTGATGGTCGTAGGAGTTTTTGGGATAATTGGGATTTTTGTAGTTGGAGTTTTGATAGTTGTTGGAATTTTTATAGTTATTGGGGCCTTTGTAGTTGTTGGAATTTTAATAGTTGTTGGAACTTTTTTAGTTGTTGGAATTTTGATAGTTATTGGAACTTTTGTAGTTGTTGGAATTTTCATAGTTATCGGAACTTTTGTAGTTGTTGGAATTTTGATAGTTGTTGGAACTTTTGTAGTTATTGGAATTTTAGTAGTTGTTGGCATTTTAGTAGTTGTTTTTAGAGTTTTCCTGATTGTTGGCACTTTAGTAGTCGTCCGAGTTTCAGTAATTGGTAAAACTTTGGTAGTAGTTAGAACTCCGATAGTCGTTGGAGGTCGAGTAGTAATTGGAACTCTTCTAGTTATTGTGGTTTCTATTATCGATGGCATTTTGGTAGTTTGTGCGACTGTAGTAGTTGGAGTTTCACTAGTTGTTAAAGTTTCAGTAGTTGCTGGAGTTTCGGTAGTAGTCGGAGCTTCAGTAGTCGTTGGACTTTCCGTGGTCGTCATTTCTTCCGCAGTTATCGTTTTCTCGATCTGCGTCACCGGGCTTTCTTCTTCCTCCGGTATCAAGCCCGAAGTAGTAGCTACAAACTCTGTTAACGTACTCAAAGTCGTTGTGACCGTTATTCTTCCCTCAGTAGTTACAGTTTCAGTTACTAATGAGAGTATTGTCTCGAATGACGTTTCCGTAATTGCAGGAACTGTAATTTTCAGAGTAATACCCGCCATACCTTCCAAGAGCGGAGTCAACATCATCGTAGGTTCGATTGTAAATGCCTTCGTTATCGGAATCGCTGTGGTAGTCTCAAGTACTTCGATAGTATACATATCCGTAGTTAATACTACGACTGTTTCGTCAGTAACAGTTTTAATAGTCGGTGTTACAATTTCATCGACCACTATTGTCGGTAATCGTGTCGTATAAAGTAACGGCGATGTAGTTGGCACTGTAAAGGCTCTCCACGTAAATGGAACTTGCGTTATTGGTATAGTTGCCCAAATTTCAGGGATTATCGTTGGTACTGCAGCTGTCGTTAACGCGCTAATAGCAAATGGGTATTCAATCGTTGTGTACTGTATCGTTGTCTCCGTAGTTGCTGCGATTTCAATCTCCAGAACGTCGACACTTGCCGTCGTCCTCGTCGTCGTTTCTTCAAAAACAATTTCTTTGATAGTAGTTTCACTAACTTTCTCTGTCTCACTCGTAATCTCCTCTGTATACTCATACCAAGACGTGACATTCTCGTCTCCGTATATTTCCGTGTAATTCTGATCGTCGTAACCAGTGCTTTCGTAATACTCAAAGTCAGTAGTGTAGTCCGTCTCATTCTCACGTGGGATCAATTCGGTCACTTCTTCTGGAAGTTCCTCCAGTCTCGTTACATCCAAAGCGATTGTCACTTCCTCCTCAGGACGAGGCGAGTATATTGTCGTAATATCAATGAATTCTATCTTCTTAGGAATCAACGGTAACAACGGCTTAGTGACAGCCGGTGTGGTAAAATCAGCAATAATTGGATACTCTGTGCGAAGTTCCTCAGTCCTGCTTAACATGCGGAGCACATCGAGGTAAGCCGTCGCTTGTTTGTAGAACTCCGGATCGATAGGACTGTAGTACATTTTTTCTGAGGTCGTGTTCCTCGTGCCATATCGCTCTAGATCTCTTTTACTATTCGACAACAGGTACACCGAGTTATCTTTATTATCCCGTGACGGAATAATCAACCTGTTGCTATGTCGTGGAGAATTTGGCACATGTCTATATAAAAAATCACTCTCGTTCGATACGTCGCTCATCGTGTGCGACAACGTGGTCGCAAATATCGTCGCCTGTGTCATTTTTTTTAATCCGAATCCAACAAATCGTCCAATCGGCTCCATTCGCGCCTCGTGATTCCTCGTCAAAGACTTTAGCTTTCTGTTCAGTCTCAAACGAGGCGAACCAACTGTGAATTCAAAAGATTTTGATTCAAAGGATTTTGGATCAAAGGATTTTGAATCAAAGGATTTTGAATCAAAAGATTTTCTTTCGTTTGATTCTTCGAAGAAATCTCCAGGATCGTTTCGCATTCCCAAATCACTGCCCAGACTCGCACGTCTGCACGATGGTGTGGTCAATTTGTTCAAGAATAAAGAATAGCCATTAGATCTTTTTCGTAATTTTCCATTGTCAATTTCTTCGTGTGACACGGCACTTCCAGCTTCGATGCGTTTCCTCCTATGGAATTGACGATCTAGATTCTTCCTGGGAACAGCAGGATCGTAGTAATCCGCTTTGTCGTTCGCACTCGCGATATTCGTGTCTTTCTCTTCCTCATGATCTCGTTCAGATCGCGTGGACTCAACGACGTTTTTTTTATCGCACAGTCTGCTCTGCACGTCGCTGATGCTTTTGTTGACCAATTTAACGGCGCTCAGCAGTTTCTGCAACTCTGAGGACAACGGCTCGATCGCCTTTAAGAAAGCTCGCGAATTTTCCACTTGAGTCTGTCCTTCCTTGGACGACTGTTCTTCTTCGAAGAGTAACGACGCGGACGTTGTGTGCTCTTCAGGATTGTTGAGCGAATACACTTCGGTGGTGAATTCGCTGAACAACGCTTTACCATCATCAGTCATGTACAATCTGACGTCTCCTACGGTAATCAGCGCGTCGATATCATTGTCTAATGTGCCAAGAAGTTTTGAGAGATCCACTGTGGTCGATTCGACGTCAAATTTGCTGTATTTCAGAGACTCCTCGTAACTTCCGTCGCTCGATCCTGACTGACCGACTTCGTCCAAATTAAACGTATGCGACCGACGATCGTTCGCATCTCCTAGATACGAAAACACGTCGTAATCAAGCGTGTTAAAGAAGGAAGACGTCGTTGGGAACTTGGACTGATCGTAGGAATCGATTGTAGTGTCCAAATCGATTCCACTATCCATAGACGAGAGGTTCCTGTAACCTACACGGGTTTTGGTGATAACTACTTAATAAGTTAAAAATTAAGATATTAAAAAATCAATAATTTTTAACTTTATTTATTTAATTTAATGATTTTCAACTTAAACTAGTTGTTTTATGAATTAGTTTTGATTTATTAATTTTTTCATATAAGTTAAAATAATCCATTAATACTTAAATCATTGTGAGCTGCTAACAACATAACAAAAAAAGAAACAAAAAATAATTGCAAAAAAATGTGTTAATCTCTCTGAACATCAATGTTCTTTTCTTGTATGAAATCTTTAACAGAAATCAATTCTTTTTTTATAAAAAATTACTTTCTCATTAATAATCCACAAATTTAATCTTTAATTAAAAAGTTAATTATACAAAAATATATATACTGCATTGCATAATTAATTTTTGACTGTGATAAACGTTAAGGTGTCGTCGTCGTTAATTTAATATCAAGTTAACTGTTAATTGAATTAGTTTCTATAACTTTTAACCGTTTATATAACTTTTAACGTGAAGTAAGTTAATTTAAGGGTTAATTCTTCAAGCTTAACTTTAAAATTAAATTTAAAAAAAAAATTAATTTCTTTGTTTAAACTTAACAACTTACCCAACTCTGGATCTGCAGGTTGAAGAACGATTTCCTCGTCGGATATTTCGGGCATGACATCGATTAAAGCGGGATAAGTCTGAGAGGGGACTCCCGGGTACAAGAAATTCGGGTATGACGTGGGTTCTCTCACAGGATCCAGGTTCTCTTCTCGGAGGACAGCGGGATCCAGACCGGGATACAAGTGACTCGAGTCGTGATCAGGTAAACGGTGCTGATATTTTAACGGACCTCCCCGAAGGTACGCTCTGCCTACGTCTTTCGCGTTGTGATGCAGATGCGCCTTGAACGCGAGGACAGCCGATGTCGCGTTATTGCTGTCTGCGCTCGCTCGAGAACGAGAGTTCTCGTCGGCGTCCTTCAGCACATACAGATCCTTGGACACGGGTACCAGCAGGAACTTTCTGAAGGAGCTCGCGTATGCACGATTATCCTTGACTTGCGACTTCTCATCGTCACTCGCCGGGGTCTCCTGGTGTCCGCTGAAGAGTCTCGGCGAATAGGCGTCGGCAAGCGTTCCGAGGCGATACATGGGAACGAGTACTCTCTCGATCGGCTTCCCGGAAACGAAACCGCTTCTCGCGCGACTGATATCTTCGGATCCGACGTCTAGCAGCTCTATCGGCGAATGATGGCTCGAGGTCTTAGGAAACGCGAAACCTCCGTTGATCGCGTCGACGTATCTGTCCGGGTAGCTCAGGACGTACACGGACTGCCTCGGCGGGAGAGCCGTTTCCGGTTCGCGTCGATTTTGGCTCTCGTCGGCCTCCCATTCGGATGTGGGAGTCTCTGGTGATTCGTAGAGTGTTTCTCGCGAATTTGAGTCGATAAGAGAGAGAATCGTCTGGTCGGTTCGCGAAAAATGATCGGAATCGGAACTCTCCGGGTTTTTTACCCGGATGGCCGTCGGAGTCGACGTCGGGATCGGGTTGGTCGCGGGAACTGGTGATTCCGGGACTTGCCAGACCGGGAGTCCTCGTGATCCCGCCACGTTCGACCAGACATCGTCCGCGTCGATGTCGTCGTCGTTCTCGAAGTCGTTCTGACGACGCGCGACCTCGTCGTCCGAGTTTCGCGCGCGTTTCGTTCGTCCTCGAAGACTTCGTCTGACACGCGTCGATTTGCCATTTGGGAGCAGTTTCCTGGTTTGCAGAAAATCGTCGATGCGATTCACCAGCGAGGACTGTTTGTCGCGCTTGATTGTCATTCCATCGTCGACGGGCACTTCGGACACTCGGCTCCTGGTCTTCTGTTTGAGGATGTATTCTACGCTGTTTCCTACGGATATTGCCAGGAAAATCGTGACAAATTACATCGCAGAAATCATTGAATTCTCTCTCGCGAATAAGTATTTCGTTTCTTAATTTCAAATGAAAATTGTCCGACATTATATTTTAATACAATATTACACATATTTTAATGTGCAATCGAATTCTTCAAGTCTAAAGTCGCATAAAATATTTCCTTACATGATAAATATAAATCTGAAGAATGAAGTGTGTCGCAAAAAGTAATGACAATGTACATTCTATTCCTAACTAAAAATTATCTGATACCATCACTATATAAATATTTTTCTATGCAATTGAATTCTTCAAGCCTGAGATCACATTGAATACTTCCGTAGTCTCACACAGTAAATCTGAATCCGAAGAGCAAGGTCTTATCGCGAAAAATAACGAATACGGCAACACATTTCGTTCCTGTGAATCTAAATAATGACTACTCGATATTATACGAGGATATGCATATTTTTCTACACAATCGAATTCTTTAAGCTTAAAATCACGTGAAAGATATTTCCACAACCTCACACAGTTAAACCTAGATCCGAGGACCAAGGTTTCGCTCTGTCAGTCGCGCACAGAGATGCTCATCGAGCAAAATTAAACTTGATACCGCCAAGTGACCTCGTTCCGCGTCTGTCAAAGTAATTACCTAGTATCGTCGCGGCGATACCGCCGTCCGCAATTCTCGCCGCGTAAGCCGCAATGTAAAACACGACGAGAAGGATAATTCGCATAGCGTCATATCACGGGCATTCTCAGGGGCGGTCGTGTGCTCGCGAATTGTGCGTGTCGTCGCCGTTGACTCGCACGAATCTTCCATGGAGCATCACCGACACCTTACATAAGGTATACCTGTCGGAAGAGAGGAATGCTCGCGCTGCGTTGACAGATTCTTGAAGTTCGTGAGGATCGATAGGAAGCCGCAATGTCGATTCAATTGACGAACGCGAACAAACCAACAATGTATGTATTATATACTCTCAGATGCTGCAAACCATTCTGAAATCATACTGAATGCGTTCATAATATCTTAGAATATTATCCAAAATATCCTGGACATATTCGGGGTGATTCCAGGACGTCTTGCGCTATCTTAAGAACTTGCAAAAACTCGTCGGATCCTTAATCATTTTATGATTATAACTCAAGTTGATATATATATATATGTAAATAAAAGATGAGTTATTTTACAGATATAAAATCAGACGAATATTTTAAATGTGTCTGGAAGTGAATAGCGATGACAGGTAAAAAATATGCTTGAATTAAATATGTCGAAAATATTATTCGCGCGTCGCCATTAATAAAAGAAATATAGCTAAAAATCTTATAAACTTTCGTGAACTCTTAAGGCCAATTTTTCAATAGTAGTTCAAATTTAGATTTAAGTTTAAACTACTATTAAAATAATTGACCTTTAATAATATAATATATACTGAATATACACTATAATAATGTAAGTAATACTATAAATACATTATAATAATGTAAGTAATATATATATATATATATATATATATATATATATATATATATATAATATACTGAAAATATAAATAATATATATTGAATAATCAAAATAATATACAATAATATTTAGATGCTCTTTTAATAGGTAATACTTAAAAAGTACTCAAGACCATAGTCTTTAATACAGGCTGACTCAAGAATTGCTGTACCATGTATATTTAATTTAAGAATGTGCCTCCGAGAAATGATGAACAACAATTTTCCAAGTCTGTACGACTCGTTTTACTCACGGTTCGCATTAATTTCATCAGTAATGAGTTTGTTTTGTCGAAAAACAAGTGGTACGGCACTTCGTGCGTCGTCCTGTAACTCCTCGTCGGTACAATCAGCTGATTTCGAGGAGGATTGCTATCGGCGAGATTTAAACAGATGTCACAAACAGATGTTCATTACCTCGGTATCTTAAATCAACAGAACTTCGTAAGGGAAGGAACGAAGAGTCGAGAAATGAGATTCTGACTTATGAAATTGGAGGCGAAAATGGAGTTTACTGACGTATACGGAAGATCTGCAGAGTACACGTCGCCGACGAGGAGTGCGGCGTGAGCGGAACTATGCGCGGTACTCGTGGTTAATAGAGAGCTCACTTATACTCTTTGTGCGCGCAAACAAGTTGACACGAACATGACACGAACGATCGCGATTTGATATTCGCGAAGACACGACGGCCAAATGATCGCAGGAGTGTTCAAATGCCGAAACTTGCGCGACGTACAGGTTATTATGAAATCTTGGTAAACAAATGTGACCAGCTCGATTGGCGTCACATATGACAATTATTACATACATTGTTTTAAAAATTTGTCTCTTGCGCTTTTCACGCATTGAGAATCGAATAAAACATACATGTGACAATTATTTTAGGTTGGTACACAAAAAATCTGTCATCTATTTGCCAATTAGAGTTGACAACTGCACACGGTTTCAAGGTAATTTCTATTAACAGAAATAGTGCTCGATGACTTTGTCTCTCTAATGTTAATTTTGGCAACATTTTCCACGTGGAAGAAGACCTCTCAATCTCTCTCTTCAAGATCTCCAAATTTCTAACCTTATTTAAAGACAGAGCTCAACAGGTGAGTCTTGGCTACGTTCAACAGAGAAAGCTGCTTTACAGTTGTGAAATTCGTGAATCTTATTGACATGTGCTCTTAATTTTGGCTGTGAATCTAGTAGTATATATCAATCAGATAATAGCATATAACAATCAGATTCACAAATTTTACAACAACTACAAAACAGCTTTCTCTGCTGAACGCAGTCTTTTGCAGCAACCTAGCAACATCATTCAGTGTCAAACTATACAAGGAATTGTTTTTCAGAGATACTGCCAACGTATTCAAACATATTCAAAGGCCACAAAAGTATTTTTGAGACACCAGCTAGGATTTACAAAACGTTGCAAAATGAGACCACTACTTAAAGTGTTATATTCGCTCTGTTGGAGCAATGCTTACCTGATCATGGGCATATGCATGGGCCTAAGTTTCAGTCTGCTATTGATACCGATCGACGTTGACAAGCAACGTGATATCGTGGAGACCTTCGACCATTCTTCCAATACTTTAGAGGATGTGGACCCCTATGAGCCACGAATAGATACCGATGGTAAACCGCAGCAGGCTCTGAAGACAAGGAAGACGTTCGTGCGCCCGCGATATTACTCCACGGAGCTGGGTATCAGGGAGAAATTATTCGTGGGTATTATAACGAGCAGAGAGCATCTCCACAGCAGGGATGTGGCGCTGAATAAAACAGTCGCTCATATAGTGGACAAAATCCGTTATTTCATCTCTATACCGGAAGGGACCAAACCGAACGTCTCGTTCCCTGGGATAGTCGGGTTTACCGATACCAGAGACATCCTAAAACCTTTCCACACTATAAAATATATCATCGACAATTATCTAGAGAACTATGACTATTACTTCTTAGTTAAGGACGTGAGCTATATAAATGCAAGGGGTCTGATGGAATTTGTGAATAAAATAAGCGTAAGCCAAAACGTTCACATAGGTGTTCCAAGCGAAATCGAGACCTACTGTTCCTTGGGTAAGGCACGCTCGCTTACTTCTAATCCAGATAACGCGAGCTGATCGATAATTCAATCTAAACGGACTTGGTCTAAACTAAAATCATTTCCAGAGTCCGGCGTCCTGCTGAGCAACTCCGTTATACAGGAGATCAAGAATAATTTAGACTGGTGCGTGAAGAACGCGTATTCGGACTCGGACGACGTTAACGTCGGCCGTTGCATCCTCCATTCCACGTCGATGCCATGCACTGATCGCGTGCAAGGGCAAGATTTCAAACTTACACGCTTGAAGCCTGCGTTTAACTTCGATCGGGACTTCGCCGAGTTGGCCAAGCGCAGTGATTTCCGAAATTCGTTGTCTGTGTATCCCGTCTACGATCACATGCTCGTTTACAAGTTTAATATGTACTTTGTCGCGGTAAGTACTTGAAATATAACACGTATAGAGCAATATACTAATGCATAAAAATATATGCTATTTTATATAGCAGTATATAAAATATATAAAATATTATGTCAATGCTTAGACAAACATTATACAGTTTTGGACATTCTTATTATTCTAGTCTTTGACATGAATATTTAAACTTTCAACAAAAATATATACGAAAAATATATTCTATATTGAAAGTTTAAATATTCGTATTTAAAAATCAAGACAATAAGAATATCCAAGTATATGTCCAGGCATTAATAATTTTACTTTAATATCCTAGTGAACATTAATTAACAATAATATTTAAAAATACTAGAAAATAATACTAGTAATAATTAATAACATAATTATTGAGCAAACCCGTTACACACAGTAACGACATTCACTTTTGACAGTTTGGTGAGCTTACAACTTCATTGTATCTAAACTGTTTTGCAACCTGTTGTATATAAAACGGTTGAATGAGAAATTACAATATTGATTTGATATTATTGTTGGCTGGTGTTTACTAGGATATCATATGCTAGCAAACTTCGTGAGATATGATTTGTAAGTTAAACAGATTGAAATTAACGTGAAGTTTGATTTTGTCTATTGAAAGTTACGAGTTGTTGCTTCATGTATAACGCGTTGCTCCGCAGATCAACTCTATCAAGGTTCACAAGCTGATCGGTGATATACGCAAAATGATCTCGAAGACCGCGCATTTGGGCCCGCCGAATCAGCGCAACGTATCATGGCCCATCGGTAATCAACCAGGCAATAAGCCGTCGGGACGTTTCGATGTTCTGCGCTGGTCGTACTTTAACGAATCTCACGTGTTCTTCGAGACCGATTTCATTAACATCCAAGAGTTGCGCGGCGACACGAAGTCCGCCATCGACTACGTGATCACCACAGCTGTAAACAATATTATCAACAAGTATGACAACAAGCTGAGCTACAAGAAGCTGCTAAACGGCTATCAAAAATTCGACGCATCCAGAGGGATGGATTACATACTCGACATCGCGTTCAACGAAGTGGCCACAGGCAAAGAGGTCAGGAAGCGGATTGAGATCTGCAAGCCGTTGGGTAAAGTGGAAATTATACCCGTGCCGTACGTGACCGAGAACATGAGGATTAACGTGATCGTCGTTATTGATCTGGACAAGAAGCAGGATGCGTTGAATTTCATGGAGCATTATGCGCAAGACTGTATGGAGAAGAAGTACAAGACTTTCCTTATGGTGGTCAGTTCAATCACACTTTAGTAAAACGCGCAATTTTTTCACGTACAGCGTTATGTTCAGAAGTAATTGCCGTAATTGATATCGTTATTTGCATTTTTTTTCACATAGGTGCTCTTGTATAATTTCGATTCGCAGTCGAAGGGCAGAGGCGACGTCTTCTACGAGATAAAAAAGAATATACTAACATTGAACGAAAAGTATAAGAAGGATCAATCTAGAATCACGTGGCTCTCAATACGATTGCCGAGCAACGTGACTTCCGTAGATTTCGATCCGATGTTAAAGATCGCCGTGACCGACTTGTGCGCGAGAAAGTTCTCCCCGGAGAGTTTGGTTTTATTCACGGAAATGGGAGCGAAGTTGAAAGTGGATTATTTAAACAGAGTGAGTATACTCTCTTCTCAAGTTATTCTTTGCAACAATTCAATGTCATTAACGATTATTCTCAATTCAACGATGATTTGTTGTTGCTTATCAGGTTCGCATGAACACTATTAGTCGTTATCAGATATTCAGCCCGATTCCGTTTATCGAGTATCATCCCGACATAATCTACGCGGATGAAGTGGCTCACGATGAGGTGGACGTCAATAGCAATTATGGCAGATACGATGAACGGAACTACAATAATATTGCGTTTTACATCAAGGATTACAACGCAAGTACGTCGCGCATATACGCTTTTATTCGGTCTTAGATTAAATCGACGTGAAAGATTACACATTCTTCTATCATGTCACTTGAGATTAGAAGTTACCCACTCAAGCAATTTTTCGTCCAGAGAAAACACGCAAATAAAACCTGACAATATCGTATTTCTTTTTAATTGATTGTTTCAGTGCGGCAGACGGTCGAAGCCAACATTCCGTTAACGCGATCCGACAAGGACATCGCGACCCTGCTGAAACTTTCGAAGCACAGTCCTGTAACTTCCTTATTTGAGATGTACGTGTCTTTCAGCGATATACATGTGTTCCGCGCAATCGAACCGACGTTAAAAATCAAATATAAGGACGTTAACTGCGAGGACAATTCCATCGACAGTATTTATAAGAGTTGCCTTAGACTAAAGAATAGTCACTTGGGTAAGCGTAGTCAGTTAGCTAGACTAATATTAGATTATCAAAGTTATCACACGTAATGGAACAGAAGTCGCAGTATTAAATCAATATACACATAAATTGTAATTTCACATAATTAAAAGTAAGTATATCGTGTAATAAATATTTTATTCTATTATTTATTATATATATATATATATATATATATATATATATTTTTTTTTTATAGTAGCAAATATATTAAGGAGAAATAAATTGTGTAATGACAATATCAAAAATAAATATATTGAATAATATACAAAGATTCCTCCCCTCTCTGGTTGATTTTCTGTCGCGACATTTTTGCGATCAAATATAAGATATGTGAAAACGTTTTGGAATAATACGACTCCTTTCCGTGCGCAAGAGCTTTTTAGCTGCACTCTCTGTATTTATTTCAATTTGTTTTTTTCTTTAATTATTTTCACATCTATTATTTGATTATATGTACAAATGTGTAATTTATATTATATAAAGTTATAACATAGTGCAGCTAAAAAGGACAGACTTAACATATATGGTATTTTGTTTAATATTAATAATCACCACGTTAATCACGATCTATGTATTGACGTGTTAATCCTATTGGCATCTTACTATTTATCACTATCAGATTCTGACTCGGACAGTTGCAGATCTTCATTCAGGAAATTGTCTGGCATGAGCGGTGCGACAACTGAGGTTGAATTTACACTACTTAGAATGTCTAAAAAAGAAATAACATTGTTTTAATATTAATTTAGATACATAGAGCTGAATAATATAAATAGTTATATTTTACTACACTACACTTTACAAAGTTAGTCAAGAAAATAATTTAATCGAAAGTGTGGACAATAATTTAGATTAAGGAAAAAAAAGTTAGAGAGAAATAAAGAAAATAACTTAAGGCAATAATATGGGAAATTTAGGCATTAATATGGGAAATAGAGCACATTTTTTCTCATACTTTAACATATTTTTATGTACCATTTGGTGCCATCGGTACGGGAATGTTCTCCGTATCAGAATCGCTATCCGAGCTATCAGAACTTGAACTGCTCGAACTCGAATCGCTTAGTGCACCCTCGTCGCTGTTTATAGAAGCCGGTTTTATATTTGGTATCGCAACAGGTGGCGGAGATACTCTGACTGGTGCAGACGTATATGAAGGAATTACTGGAGTTGACAATACGAAATCATCAATCTCGGAGCCAATCATTGGCAAACTAGCCAAGGTCGATTGTGTGTTTGACGATTGCGCGGGCGAACAACTGAAATCAAATATAAAACGTTTAAAATAGTCTGCGGAATTTATAAATGTACTATGCGTAATGTAATAATTCATTTTATTTTCAGAACCTATAAACTAACTTTTTTCTGTATTATAATACTTTATATAGCTTCTTATGAAAAAAATACAAAAAATATAATAGATTTGCTCTCTATCTGAAACATGGATTTATTATACAGAGAGTCTGATGATTCATGACACACCTATTGTGTGCAGGTAGAACTCATCAAACTGAATACAAAATTCTCTTACAATTTTGCAAATAACCATGTATAATTTCAAGTTACTAATTAAAGAAGATTTGAGTATGATTATGCATGATGATAGTGCATCATGAATTGTCAGAAACACTCTCTATATTTGATATATCTCTATTTCTAATTAATTTTACTTATTTATTTATATTCAATATATTTGATAGTATATACCTGCTGGATGCCTGGTGTGGAGGACTCTGTCCTCCCTTTGAATGCAATTGGACAAAAGGTTCCCTCTTCGTTCCACTGGTAACTTTTGTCCTGCCATTCAATCTGCCATGTGTAGGACTTCTCTTATGTTCAACAGATGTTGCAGACCTACCATTACTATTATTCCCATTAGAAACTGTTAAAAATTGCTTAGCTGTAGGTTCCATTCTGCAAATAATATAAAATTTTTAATGAAATTTTCTAGCACACAATAATCATGTACAATTACATATAATAATTTCTACCATACCTAACTGTTATAATATTTAATAATAAACTTAGTAACAATAAATATGTTATTTACTTAGTAAAAACAAATAACCTTGTTTTTTTGACTTGAATATTTGCTGTTAGCTTTTCCAATATGAACTCTCCAGTAGTTTTGTCAATGATGAGAACACATTCTTTGTGATGAGGTCTCTGAGAACCTTTGAATACAGTATGAGGAGTACCAGCTCCATCTAAATGAGGGACTGTAACCGTCATCGTATTATCTGCTCCTGCATCAACATTAGCCATTTTCGAAACATCAACACTTGCAGGTTTAAAATCATCTGAAAAAATGGTATGTGATCAATATTTGAAAATTAACATATCTTCTTCAATACTAAATTAAAAAAGGTTCTTAGTTCAAAATCTGCTTGATCTTAAATTAAACAGTATCAAAATAGAAAGCACAAGATACACAGCAAATCCTTCTGAAACTTTATTATACATATTGATTGTGCTCAACAGAAAAAGCAACATTAAAAGTACACTGGAAAGAAAGACGACTGCTTAGTAAACATGTTGAAAAAGTATAAATTGCTGGTGTCATTCAGCAAAAAATCTTACAACAGTTCCAAAGCTGCTAGCAGCACAGTGTAAAGCACTGATAAAGCTGCTTTTTCTGCTGACTGTAACTATTCATAAATAATTTGTTTGATTATGTATAGTCATCCATATGGATTCCATTACAGTCCTGTTTGAAGATTAGAACATGCTTCACAGTTAGAGGAAACTTTAAAAATAAAAATTATAAAAGCTCCCTTTATATTCTGAGCATTTTCAGCTCCACACATCTGAATTCTTAGAACTTTCAAAATTCTTCAATTTTAAATAACAGAGTAATCATTCCTCACAGACACGTTGCTTCAAAGACCAATTCCTACTATCGATGAAGAGAGTGCTGTGACAACAGATTCTCATCTTAAATCTCTTACATTTCAAGGTGTGAAATGCCGTCGAGCTGTTACTCGTAAAAGTCGACCCCAACTTAAGTTCACGAATCTCAGGTCCCAATCCAAGTCGCTCAGCCATACTCAATTCGCGGCCTTGATAGTTGTGCTCGGGCACCGACGAGATATTAGAAAAGACCATCGGTCTTAAGCTGGGTCTACAATGAGTCGGTAGTCGGTAGTCTTAAAGGGACGTCTACATTGCAAGTAAGTAGTAACAAGTAGGAAGTAAGAGTAAGAAATTGACCAACCACAGTCGAATGTGAGAAGAATAATCAACTATAATTGGTCAATTTCTTATTCTTACTTTCTACTTCTTACTGCTTACTTCCAATGTAGACGTCCCTTTAAGCCTCAATCAGTGAGTCGGAAAGGCTGTCGGTGAATCGGAATCGGTGAATTGGTGAAGCTGGGCCAACAGCCAACTTTGAAGACTATCGACTAGCGATTTTCTTACGACTGACCAATCAAATGTTTCGCATTGATTGTCCTAAAGAGAGCGCTCTATATGAATAGACGTTTTCAATGGCTGATGGTAAATAGATGGTTGTGATTATTGTGCCGTATTTAATTAATAGTGATTCTGTACAAATCATGAATATTGATGATTTAGAAATAATACAAATTGTACAGGCAAATCCTTGCCTGTATGATAAAAGTGTCAAACAATACAAAAATGTTTCATGAAATAAATTCATGAAAGCTCCTTGCTGGATAAACAATTTATTGAGTGGTCTACGCCATCATTTAATTTAAAAAACATTTATTAGTCACTATTAACTTAAACTTGCTAAAAATTTAAACTTTAATTTAATAATAGTTTAATTTAATAATTATTTCCAGTGTAAAATAGACAACTAACCTCTGACCAGTAGTCATCATTATATAATATATGGAAAAAGATAATAAAATTATTATTTGCAATACGCATATTAGTTCTACATCCATCAGAATACCTGCAATTCAAGACACACTATTTGTATACGTTAAACACATAACACATGTGCGCAGTAAAACTTACGTATACGCAACTAGTTAGAGAATTGAGCCCCAGTATTCATTGGTTGCGTTCAGCAGAGAAAGCTGCTTTGCAACTATTGTAAAATTCGTGAATCTGATTGGAGTATGCTCTTAATTTTGGTTAAATCCAAGAGCATGAACCAATCAGATTCACGAATTTTACACAGTTGCAAAGGAGCTTTCTCTGTTGAACGCAGCCATTGGCTGTATTCAGCAGACTCAACAGTTGCACACAGTTGAACAATTCGTCAATATAATTGGTCTAGATTTAGGGATCTAATAATAAGAACCAATAATCACTGATTGCTCATTGAGCGCTTTTTCCGTTGAACGCGCTCATTGGATTTCGCTCATTGCATGATCGCGTATGCAACGGGCATTGAATCAAAAGTGGCTGCGTTCGCTTTGGGCGTTTACGCGCTGTAAGCGTCATTCTATCTTTATCGCTGATTACACGCGGGTAGAAGATAGGCTGCGTTCCGAAATTCACTTCCAGTATTGAAAATCTATAGTTCATGTCACATATACTATAGAATTTCAGTACTGGCAGTGAATTTCGGGACGCAGCCATAGAATGACGTTTTAGCGCATAAGCGCTGAAAGCGACGCAGCCAGTGTTAAAAGTGCAAGCAACGCGATTTGTGTTTAGTGAGCGTTCTGCTGAATGCAGGTAATGTATGGTAGTGCGTCATTTCGCGCGTTTCTGTCAGAAGTAATCTCGCTTTGTGTGTGTGAGAAACATTGGAGCTCGTTTTACGACGGATCACTTGGACAGTGTGATTACGGAACTGCGCCACAAAATTCTGCCTTTTTCCTGTGATCGAATATTCGTGAAATCAACGTCATGTGGTCGGACAATCAACCAGACGGCCAGAATTATACTCTAATGCGCGAGGATGATATTGGTGACGCATTTGGTTGTCCTAGGTAAGAAACTTACTTCCATAATGTGGTCTAACACTGTGTTTAGCTACACTGTGGGAGCAATCGTGAATGTTTTTCTGTAGCGTGAAATCGTGAAGAACAAACATTTCCAAATGTCCAAAATCCAAAATTTCAAGTTAGAAAATTCTCACTTTTTTCACGAACTTACGCTAGACAAAAAGATTTACGATTAGCCCCTGTAATACATGTATGTGAAATCATGTATTCATATTGCAGTATAAAGTCCCACATAGATATTCACGTAATCATGAAAATAAAACGTGATTTCCTGTAAACACATTTTCTGGATAATCTTTAATTTAAGACGGAAATAGATCGAGTAAAATTACACATTTTCTGGATAATTTTTAATTTAAAATGGAAATAGGTCGAATAAAATTACACTTAACACGTAAATGAGAGAGAGAAAAAGAAGGAACAATGGGCTCATAGTTTTTTACCTTAAACAGTCGTCCAGTTACTTTGTTGGAACAAAATGTTTTTCAGGTGTTTCCAACTGATTGAGTTATTTTAGTGAAAGGATAAAATAAAATTTTTTTGCAGGAATAACGGTCCTCCTATACCACTCTTACAAGCACCTACAGAACGCTATGCTACTCACTATAACATGAATCATCCCAAACGTGGCGTAGCCATCATTTTTAATCATGAGTTTTTCACTGTCTCAAATCTTAAAAGTCGCAATGGTACGAATGTTGATTGTGATAATCTAAGCATTACGCTGAAAAATCTTGGTTTTGAAGTAAACGAATTTCATAACTCAACTCACAAAGATATAATGAAGAATTTAGATAGGGGTAAGCCAGATTTTGAATTATTAACTCAAAAATAGCTAACATTGCTTTGTCACTAAAAAATTACATGTCAAGAAATGTTTTCTAAAAGAAGCAAGCATCCAAAAAATACTTTATGAAATGATTGCAAAATATTACAATAGCAAGCATACCTTGTGAACATATAATAACGTATAATAACATATTATATTCACAGTTGCAAAAATGGATCATTCAGAACACGATTGTCTAGTAGTGGCTGTACTAAGTCACGGTGATCTTGGACTGATTTATGCTCATGATACTATGTACAAAGCTGATAATCTTTGGCAAAATTTCACCGCTGATAAATGTCCATCTCTAGCTGGCAAACCCAAGATGTTCTTCATACAAGCCTGTCAAGGTGATAGACTGGATGGAGGTGTTACTCTGAAGGAACGTACTGAAACAGATGGACTACCAAATACAACATTCCGTATCCCAAATCAAGCAGATTTTCTGATTGCTTATTCAACAATACCTGGTTTGTATTATTGATAGAGCTTTTTTTAGAACATAGATAATGATGTAGAAGACTAAATTGTAACTGAAAAATGTTCTTTCAATTGACAGGTTTTTATTCCTGGAGAAACACCACTCGTGGGTCATGGTTTATGCAGGCGTTGTGCTTGGAGTTGCGCGAAAATGGCACTCGTTATGACATGTTGACTCTGCTGACATTCGTATGTCAACACGTCGCCATAGACTTCGAATCGAACGCGCCTGACAATACAGCTATGCATCAACAGAAACAAATTCCATGTATTACTTCTATGTTGACACGTTTGGTAAGGTTCACTCCTTCTAATAATGTCCGTGTATAGTCTGCAATGCGAAGTAAGTAATTATCTACTTACTAATTATATGTATACAAACCGGCATAATAGTCTTAACGATGTCATACAACCAAATTTATAGGATATTCTTATCCTACACATTATTTATTTAAAGAAATGAGAGAATAATATATCTCAAAGCGATATATTTTTTACAATAATAGCACATTAATGTCCAGAAACAAATATGAACAATTAGAAAATACTAATAGCCTGATTATAGTGTTAAGGCTGTGCTGCTGGATTGTGTACTCACAGTACACAGGTCTAATCATCTCTCAAAGTTGCTAGCGATGAAATATACCAGTTTTACCTATGCGCTGCACTTTGTCGATACGATAGCCGTGTATTGTATTCTGGGAACAGGATATATCTTGTATGTTTAGTAATATTACGAATTATCCGTGCAAGTACCAGATTAACGTTTAAGTATAGCGATATAAGATAAAAGATTCCTTTGTTTCAGTGATAAGATTTTGTACATGATAGTATTTTTTTTCTTTTTATCGTTTTTTATTCTATTTATCACAAGAGAACAAATAACTACTGCCACAATTATGCATTTTTTTTTCATGATCTCAGTTTTCAGGCACATACACTATCATGGCACAAAAGAATTATGTTAAAAAAAATATCATTTCTTAATCTTATCTGAATGTGTAGCACAATTATTTACGGTAAGTATTAAAATATGAAATACAAAAATTAAGTAGAAAATTAAGATCTCAAAAGCTATCGTGCTTTACCTGTGAGATCTTTATTTAGCAGGTAATTAAAGTATATGATAAGTACAAAAAAAGACAAGATTTATCGACTATATTAAATAATATTACCATATGCAGTCATTTTAATCATATTTTTCATCGGTAATTCATATAAACATATTTATATATAAATATATGTGTGGAACATATATATGAAGAAAAAATACGATGAATATTTCATACATTCTATTACAATAGCACTTTGATGTTGCATATAAATAGAATATTTTTTAACCAGTATATATACGCAGTGTGACTGTCCTAAATTTTTACAATCATATACATATATTTTATACCGAACATGTAGAAGCAATCTGTGTATGTTCTTTGCAACAAACAATAGCCTGACATCGACAAAACAATATGTATTTCAACTCTATTTAATTGTATAATCTACCTGAAGTATAAAATTGTTATGGATTAACCGTAAGCAGCAATTACTATTCAGAGTATTCGGACGTTACAAAAATAATTAAAGAAGAAGATAAATTTTGCCGTAATTAAGCAGAGATAAGTTATTTGTACATACGCCGAAGTATCATCAGCGAATGTGCAATGTGCTATATTGCTAGTTTGATAAACGTAAAACGTATAGTTAAGAGCCAATTATTAATATCGGCGGCGGCAATTGTAAGAGAGACAAAATTTGTGAAACGTGATACCAAGTCTTTCATAGTAAGAATAATCGAATTCTCATATGCCTTATACACTCGCAATTGTTTGAGAACTACGGTTAAATTATATAAGACTATATAAAACATATATATATACATATATATTAATACATCTCTATATACAGGATGTTAGTAGTTTCTGCAAATTGCGTTTTCACTTATTGTTCCTCTTATAAAACGGCTATATTCAGCAAAAGTACTTTGTGATTAGAGTATGCTTTAAGATTCTTGGTAGAGATTCAGAAGAATGTATATCTGCCTGGAGTAATAATCATTTTGAGTGTTCTGCTGAACGTAGCCGCTAAGATGTTCGCAATTTATATCATGTAAAGGTGATTTTGCAATGTAGCATTTTATCTAGACGATGTTACAAAGTAATTGCTCAAAAATATAATGACGCGGTTGCAAAGTAGAAATGTACAATGTCTTTCGCATTGTATTTTGTGATAAGCGTGCGCTGAAACGCCACATGAATTCATTTTTAAAACTGCATTTTTCATCAATGTTACCGATATATATATATATATATATATATATATATATATATATATATATATATATATATATATATAA